AAAAACCTTTTCCACTGATTGAGCCACTTACACACACTCACAAACGCATCACAAGTCACTCACTTAGCCGCTCGTTTACTTACTTAAAATAGGTACGTACTTGTCGCTTGATGCTCGCGAATCTCCGGTTAAAGTTGAATATTTTTTTTTGTCACTTTTGTGTTGGACTTTATACGTTTTTGTTTTGTTTCTTTCTGGTTTTTAATACACATAAAAATTAGTTATGCATTAAAACTTTTGCAGGTATCTATGGAGTTATGTAGGTACATATGAATTGAATGTTTAACAAATTTCACAAGTAACTGACTACAATATTTTTTTTTACATTTAAGTATGCATATTAGTGCATCCAAGTAAATATGTATGTACGAGTAACTTTTCACTTAGGCATCTCTAATTTATGCTTTCAATATATTTTTTTTGATTGCCTTAATTTCAATAACACACACATAGTAATGTTTACTTTAGAACTCTAAAATTAAATATTTGTGTACATAGGTAAGCGTCTGCGGCCGGCAAGATTTGAGCTTCATACTTTTTCGAAGTCAGAAATCGCTGGCAAAACACGTTTTAAATTCTAAAAATGCCAACATCTTTTAACATTTAATAGTTTTTTTTTATTCTCTTTACACTTCTGCACTAAGACACTGTTTACACTTATGCAGATATTATACAATTTCATTTATTTTTATGTTTTATGTTTACTAGAATCATTTCACGTTCCATTCTACATAGTTTTCTCGTCAACGCCAAAACGCCGCCAAAGCGCCAACACAAAACCATCGCACACGCCGCACAAAACACAACTGAAAATCTGAACTGAGCGATTCGTGTTCGCCGCACTGCTGTCGCCAGCGATATGCTCCAGGTCAACCACGGGCCTATATGTGTGTGTGTGTGTGTGTGGGTGCGTTTGTTATGTTGGTTCGCATCGAAAACTCGAAATTCACAGGTTGTAAATACGTGCTGGCGTACCGCCCCCTTTGGCGCACTGCCGTTAGGCTACGGCATTTACCTACTAAGGTTTGCTCGTGGCATGCCAGCACAACATGTTCGCCATCGAACAAAACACAACATCGGCAACAGCAAGTGCATTTGGGAAAAGTTTTACCCAAGCGCTTGACTACCTTAACCCAGTATGGCATAGCTCAACCAATTTCCTCAGAAAAAGTAATTTATTTCTGCTTATGTAGCAACTGACTTTAAACAGAGACATGACAGAGATGCCTTCTGTTACTTATTAGCTTCCGGAATCTCCGGGTTCGAATCCCAACAGAGACAACATGTGAAAATGATAATAAATTTAATTTTTGTGCCTTGGAAATATTAAAAAGCATCTGTAAAGTGCAGGACGAAAGCGTATTCAAACGAAACATACTTACTTTGAAGTGCTTTAAGCCAAATGCATTTTAAAGTAGTTGAAATCAATCAAATGCATAGTCGGATAATGGACTGCTTCCTAGGACATCGCCATGTTAAAGTCAGCAGTTCGCTTCGAGGAAGAAAGTCAGATCTGTAATTAGTTGTGGTGGGTAAAAAACTGGTTGAACATCAATATTTACACTAGTTTCTTTCCGTACTGGGTTCTCATATACAAATAAATTCGCAGTCTATATGTTGCTAGTATTTTTGTGGCATCAACATGCTTCATTTATCTGTAGATACATATGTTGAGATACATTCGAATACCCCGTAATTCAAAATTAACTAACGCGGCAGTTTTAAATCACAACTTTGATTTTACCTTGGAATACTGGACTGAAAGTAATTGAACGATGAAAATTGTTTAATTCATTTTAGCCATATGTTAACCAAGATCCAGTATCTTATGAAAGAAATAAACAGTGAACGTAGGTAAGTTACAGGCAGCTTACATTTGAAGTCCCTCATAAGCAATACGTAGGCCGTGTTAATACTTCCACCGACTTTTACGTTTGGTGGTTTTGATTGGGTTCTTGATACATAGTTATTATTTAGGGGCAGGAAAATCGCATGACCAACTGCAATCATTATCCCTTGTGGCTTTACTTATAGTTTTGTCAAGGAAGAAATTGTGCGATTCTAAGGTATTTAGGTAGCTCCTTGAGATCGGTATCAGAACATAAATTTACAGGTTCCTCAAGAATATCTAAAATGGCAGTAACTAAAATGTACATCGGTACCTAAAAAACGCCCATGCAATCTGACAGATAAATTGTAGGAAATTTATAAAAAGCCACTTTGGACAAGCTTTTAACCCCTAACACTTTCGTCAGAAGCATTTGGGTTATTTCACAGCCGCCTTCACTTTGAATAATTCATTTTGTGTTTTATATGGTGTTACCCAAGGTCTCTTAAAATGGGAAAGTTTTTACTATGGGTGTTCATCTAAATGCTTAAATGCCTCGTAATCGCGTAATCGTTTTTTTCATACAAAATTATTAAATTTAAGAGGTTTACGTGTTTACAACGCATTTACGCGTTTAGGTGAATACCACTACGAATTTGTTTCACGCAACATGAGTAAATGAAATCGGGAAATAATCATTGACATAGAGTTTTTTAAAGGAATAGGTCGAACACTAACTTATAAATTAAAAGATCAACGTGAGCACTGCGTAAATTTTCGTTGAAAATCCTTCCTCTGATATTTTTAAATAATAAGCTGCACTAAGAACTTTTGGCTTAGCGCAGGCACTGGCACAACTATGCGCTGAAAATGTTCACCTTTCAGCAAAAGCTGGATCCATTTTTTTCCATTTGTTGAAAAAGTCGAATCCTAGTCCAAATGATTAACATGTGCTAAGAAGTAAGTAGTTTCTGGCAAACGGGCAAATTTTCCACGGAATTCAGTGAGCAGTCTCTAGTCACTAATAGTTACTTTTCGTGGTAAACATCGATTTTGGGACTATTTGGTATTCAGTCTCACGTCTCAAAATAAAAATCACTAATTTGTCAGCTAGCTCTCAGCAGGTCACAAAAAAAAAATATGGCGGAAAAGATGTAAGATTTCTATTTTATTAAAGAAAAAACCCGAAGATGAAGCGAGGAAATATTTGTTCAACAATAATTTCAAATCATCTCAAGTAATACATATACATATATATGTCGTCCTTTCCAATGGCCATTCATCTTTGCTTAGTTGTTGCTCATCTGTGAATATCTCTACAGTCACATCACTTCTTCATACATTTCTAATTCTCATCTGAATGACTTAACTTTTAAGTAGAACTGTGACAACAATAAAAAGCGGCAAATACGTACCTTTGCTCAATATGTATACACACTTATTTACATACATACATATGTAAATTCCTAAATACATGGAAATTTTGTATGAAGTTACATGCGGGAATTGTCACGCAACAGCGAGTAGGCGCAACAGCTGAACATATTTCTGACATGAATTCCCTTACAAGCTTATTATTGATTAATTATGTACATACATATGCTCTTGATTATGTACTTCTGTACATACAAATGTTTTCTCTGGAGGACAGTGGACATATGCATTTATTTTTTAGGTTTAGTTAGAAATTAGACAGCTGGCCTTGCTTGCTATGAAACAACAAATTGCCTTGTTGTTTAATTATTCACGTGCTAATAAGAACAATATTCGAATGCCAATACACATATATGTACATGCATATGTAGACAAAAAACGTATTTATGTATGTATGCACATATTCGGACACAAGCAAATGTTTGTAAATAATAGATTACTTAACTCTTAAAACCCATTGTGAAAATAAGAAAAAAAAAATCGAGACATATGTAGCTTTTCAGAAACAATAAAAAAGGATATGGATATGAAAGTACTAGAATCACTTTAACACAGACATGTACTAGGCGACTTTTGCAGATGCCTTTTAAGTTCGAAATACAAAAAGGTTGCGTATTTGAAATATCTAAGAGCTCCACTCGTAATTATGCAATTACTGTAATTAATATTTCATTTTCTTCTCAGCATATATCGACTTCATAAAGTTTAAAATTTTGCATTCTAAATCGTAAACTTCTTTCTTCTGCTCAAAGGCAATTTCATGGTAGAACGCACCTTCGAAAAAGACCTATACTTTTGTAAGCAGTCAAAGCAAGCGTGTAATCATTGAAAGGGTAAAGGGCCCTTACTAAAGACATCGAAAATTGTTAAGTAAAAAAGTTTATAAACATTTTGGGTTTCATCTGGGAAAGTATTATAAAGTGAAACACTAACGCACTTATTTGTAGATAGCAAAGCAAAAAGTAGTAGCTGAGACTGTACTTCTCAATGTTACGTGACCTGAAATGTCAATTGTATGTAGAATAGCAGAGATTCGCATATGTACGCACAAAACTATCTACAAATGGTTAAGTAACAAATGCTACAAGAGTATTTACTAATGCTCAGGTGTACCGTTATTAATGACAGTATTATAGTACAAAAGAATCAAAAGCTTAGAGAGTCAAGAATCACTTAATTGCCAGTTACATAAGTTGTATGTTAACTCAGTCATGCAAAAGAAAAGTAAGTTCGAGAGCATTTTTGGGATAAGGATAACGACCATCACTTTCAATAGAAATACATAAATGAATAAAAGCATTTTATATAAAGAAATCCTATTGAAAAGAAATACATATGTACATACTTATGTATCGGAAATGAAGAATTGTATGGGCTTACATAAATGCATTGCTCGCTTTATTTGCCACCGCTTCAATTGCTTCAATTATGCCAACGGCATTCTAGCAAAAAAAGCAAATGCAAAAGTTAGAAAATAAAATAACAGCTTGAGCAAAATAACAAGATGAAATATGAGGAAAATTCCAAAAATGATAGC